AGCTCCCCAGATAACATATAGCACTGGGCAAATTGGTGCAAAGGACCTCTTTCAAGTGCTAAAGAGCAAAGATATCTCCTTGAGGACTAAGGTGGTCCTGATACAGGCCATGGTATTTTCAATTGCCTCATATGCATGTGAGAGCTGGACAATGAGTAAGGAAGACCAAAGAAGAGTTGATGCATTTAGTTGTTGTGTTGGCAAAGAATGCAAGAAGTGCCATGAACTGCTAAAAGAGCTAATAAATCTGTCCCGGAGGAAGTGCAGCCAGAATGCTCCTTGGAAGCGAGATTGGCCAGACTTCGTCTCACCTACTTTGGTCATGTTGTCAGAAGGGACCATTCCCTGGAGAAGGATGTCATGCCTGGTAAGGTGGATGGTTGATGAAAGAGGGGAAGGCCTTCAATGAGATGGATTGACGTAGTTGCTGAAGTGATGGGCTCAAGTATAGCAAGTATCATGGAGCTGGCATGGGACCGGGCAGTGTTTTGTTTCCTGGGCATAGGGTCTCTATGAGTCAGAGACAACTCAATGGCAACTAACAACAACAGAAGGCTGGCAGTTCAAACCCACCAGCTACTCCATGGAAGGAAGACTGGGCAGTCTACTTCTGTAAAGATTTACTGCCTTGGACACTCAAAGGAGGTTGCCATTATTTGGAATTGACTCAATGATAGTGAGTTTGGTTTTTTTGGTATGCTATGTGGGCAAATATTCCATATCGTATGTTTTATTTCTTATTCACCAAATTTAGCCATTTTTCTGACCTGGCTCTTCATATCTTAATGAAGAAGAGACTCCAGAAATTAGAAGAATTTTGACATGTTTCCATCTACAAAGAAGTCCAAATTAAAGTAGATTATATAATCCAATTCCGTTCAGGCCCACAAACAAGTGCCTGATATAGACCAGAAATAATGCTAAGTCCTAAAGAGGAAGTGATAAGTAGGATATTTACTGACCTCAAGGAACTGTCAGTTTACTCAGACAAGTAATCAGATGACTTCAACTAAAGTGGGATGAATAAGAAAGAATTATATGAAGCTATGGGAAAAGAGAATAAGGATACTTTGTCTTGGAGTCCAATGAAATCTTCCTGGAAGAAATGATCTCTGGAGTGTCACTTAAAGAGGAACAAATGTGTTAGGCCATGTGAAAAATGAGAGAGAATGCCAGGAGTAAAGTCAATGAGATACAAAACAGCATATATGTAGAGAACTATGAGCATTTTGATGTTACCAGAAAGAAAGAAGAGTTAGAGAATGAAGTGAGACAAGATGAGGAAAAAAGAAAAGATAAAATGCTCTTGTATTATTTCATTCATTTACTGAGTACTTACTATATATGAAGCATTACTCTGGTATTGAGGGACTTAGATTTCATCTTGTAGGACAAATGATGGTTGGAAATTAAAGGGTAGAAGATCACATTTTTGTGGTGTTGTTCGATTGTTAATAAGCAACCAAACTTCCTGCAGTATGAACAATATATTTGAGGGAAACTCAGCTAGGAAACTACTGTAATAGTCCAGGAGGAAGATAATGTGGCAATAGTAGTACTGCTGGCAAGTAAAAGACAAATTGGAGAAACAAGTCTAAAAATTAGTAGCACTGGACTTTTTGCATAAATGTAAGGAGAAGTGAATGTCACACTAGAATGTCCATGTAGATGGTGGTATCAAATATTGAGGTAAAGAACCCAAGAAAACTGATTGGGAGCAATGGATTTTACAAAGTCAGGTATCCTGAAGGATTTTTCTTTTTTTTTTTTTTAGCATATTTGGAGTTCAGACATGGAGACACACATTTGTTTGTCTTAAAGTCACGTAGATTTGTGAGTCCTCTAGAACTGGTAAGTTTGACTAAATGGGGCATGTAGAGTCAGAAAAGCAATGGACAAGAGCTGAGAAATAACAATAGTTAATGGGCTTGATAAATGCCCATGAAGAAACTAGGAAACTGGTAGAAAAGCCCCCAAGAAAGGATGATATAAGTTAAGAGAAAAAAAGAATAAACTGTTCAAAAAAAGTAGAATAAGTATGCCAATGATATAAAGATTAAAAAAAAGTTCACGAATAGGGTGAGGGTATAGTATTAGGTAGTAATCATGGCTCAGGGATGGAGTGAATTTAGCTAGATTTGTTCTAGTGGTTGACATTTTAATTCATTTTTGCTTTCTTTATTCTTTAAAAATATGGCTTTCTTCTTTTTATAATTTTCTATTCTGTGCATCAGCTACTTGACACGTAGTTTTGAAACTCAGCCAACATCAATCAAAGACATTGATTCTCTCAGTAGTGAGTTGACTGGATCATAGACTCCTTGATTTTGAATCTGTGTATTTTCTCCTTTACATTTCCACCAAGACGACTCTGAATCATTGCACTCCACTCCTAATGATTCTCCATCTTCTCTCTCTCTGTGTCCCTCTCTCTCTCTGTCTCTCTCTGTCTCTGTCTGCTTTCCAGTACATCCTATGCACTACTTCTAGGAAAACTGCCCTAAAAGCAGTATTAATGGTGGGCCTTTCATTTTCAAATACATGTCAGATTTCCTTTGTTAAGGAGTCTCCAGTCTCCCTAATGGGAGCTCTGGTGGCATAGTGCCTAAGGCATTTGAAGGCAAACCAGAAGGCTGGTGGTTCAAACCCACTAGCCAATCCTTGGAAGGAAGACTGGGCTATCTACTTCCACAGAGATACTGCCTCGGAAACCCAAGGAGGGGTCACTATGAGTCGGGTGCGACTCGACGGTACATAACAAAAACAAACAACACAAACAAACAAACAAAAAACCCAAACCCACTGCCATCCAGTTGATTCCAACTCATAGTGACCCCCATTGGGTTTTTGAGGCAGTAAATCTTTATAGAAGTAGATTGCCCTGTCTTCTTTCCACAGAGTGGTTGGTGGGTTTGAACCACCCACCTTCTAATTAGCAGTCAAATGCCTTATACAGTGCACCACCAGAGCTCCTTATAATTTCCACTAGTTAATTTGACTTCTAACCAGAAGGCTGGTGGTTCAAACTGACCAGCCACTCCTGGGAAGGAAGATCAGGAAACCACATGATTTAACCAACCACCAATCTAAAATATTCCGGGGGGAAAAAAAAACAATTAAGTTCAAAGCAATCTCTCAAAGGCTAAGAGGGAGCATAAAGACAGCATTTGCATTGCATTAGGTATTAAAAGTAATCTAAAAATGATTTAAAGTATATAGGAGGATGTGCATAGGTTATGCAAAAACTACACCATTTTACATAAGGGGCTTGAGCTTCTGTGGATTTGGGATCCACAGGGGGACCCATAACCAGTCCCTGTGGATACCGAGGAATGACTGTACACATTGCTAACAAAGACCATGTTTCATTATACAAACTTTTCTCTTTGGTCTTACCTTGTCATGACTCTCTCTCTGCTGGCCCCCTTCTATCCTCCCTCTATCCTCCCTCTCTCCCTGTCTCTTTCTGTCTCTCCTCTCTCCAAGATTATCTACTGCTGGGTAATTTAACCTCTGTAATGGATTGAATTGCATTCCCCTAAAATACGTATTGAGTTCCCTGGCCCTTGTATCTACGGATGCGCTCCTGTTTGGAAATAGGGTTTTTTTTTTTTTTTTTGTTACATTAATGAGGCCATACTTATATAGGATGGATCCTAAATCTAATCACTTCTGAGTTATGAAAACACCAGAATAGAGTAAGAGACACACCCAGGGGGAGTCAGACACCAAGGAATTGCAATAATCACCAGTTGACACCAGAAACTGGGAGAGAGGCTCACAAAAGGAATCAACACAGCTGAGATCCTGATTTGAACTTTTAGCCTCCAGCACTGAGAAAATACATTTCTTCTAAACCATCCAATTTGTGCTAATTTCTTACAATGGCACTGAGTAACTAAGACACCCATCTCCTAATGGTTTCTTTCAGACTTTAGAGTGCTAATTAATCCGATAAACTCATGAGATTGTGAGCTCCTTGAGAGCAAGAATCTGTCATTTCTAATTCATTATTACAATCCTTCTCGCATTTATCCCAACACTATGTGCTATATGGGTGCTCAGAAAGACTTGTTGAAAAGTAAATTGAAACTTCACGCTGAATTACGAAATCTTTACAGAAAGGTAAAAACATTGCAAAAGTATAGTTTTCAGATTGAAACTTCCCATTTCTCAGAATGGCTAGTATCATTTTGTCCCAACCAACTTCTATAAGCTTCTATAACCCCTGTGACTTTCCACAGGAAGAAACAAAGAAAGGGAAGGGGCTTACCATACTGACACTGGGACCCATAGTACCCCACATCACAGTTGCAGGTATAGTTATTGATGATTTCCACACATTCCCCGTGGCCACTGCATGACCAGGGCTGGCAAGAAGCTTTAAGAAAGTCAGAAAAAAATTATTTTAATCTAATTACATTTTAGTACTCATAGTAATTTCTTTAGACTTAGGTAACTTTCTGTCTGAAACAAGTTTAATAAATAGGCAAGATTTATTTTTACATTCACAGTACTTTTGCATAAAAATTATATGCTAAGATTTTTTTTTAATGTAGTATATTAGCCATATAGCTGTAGTCATTAGTTTGCACTCAGAATGAACTTACCAATTACAATGCTTTGTCACATGTAAGGGAAACTTAGTGACATCTATTGAAACTCTTGAAATTACTGTTTATTATAATAAATAGGTTAAATAATACACTGACCCCAGTCATTTCTGCAGTGTGCTTGGCAATCCCTTTCTTTATTGAAAATAGTGAGGTTTTTTTTTTTTTTTTGACAAAAATCCAAACTTGCTAAAGTTAGCACAGTCCAATTTACAAAAATTATCTATACTTCTTTGTTAAAATATGACTTGGAAAATTCTGTTTTGAAACAGCTTTAATGGTTTCTACAGAAATTTTCACACACCACTGATAATGCAGTATTTTACCTTACAAAATTATATAAGATTATAAAGAATATATCTAGAATTATATAAGGAAGAAAATGTGTGGCACCTAACCTTTTGCTGTCAAGTTGATTCAACTGCCCCTAGGGTTTTCAAGGTCACAATCTTTACAGAAGCAGATTGCCACACCTTTCTCTCATACAGCTGCTGATGAGTTCAAAACGCCAACCTTTGTCTCGCTTCCTAGTGCTTTAACCATTGTGCCACCATGCCTCCTTATATGGCACCTAGTCCCCTATTTTACAATGAGGAAACAGGTGAAGTGAGCCTAAGCTATCAATGACACTTGTCTCTCTGCGTCCATTCCAGGTATCTAGTTCTTTCTCCTCGCTTTCTACATATACTTATCATTTTGCTGTATCTTGATTTAGGGAAATGGTTCTGGTGTTTATAGATCAGCCTCAAACACCAAAAATACTCAGAAGTGACATGAGTCAGGCTTACTTGGAAGATAAGAAGTATTTTAGAATAAGCTAAAATTTGTTGTATTCTGCCAGCATTTCCCTAGGACTAGTCCAATTATTCTGACCCTTCCTGAGTCCCAGTACAATAGCAGTCTGGTCACTCCCTACCTGTGTAACAAAGGGCTGTCTTTGGCTTGCTGCAGGAGTCATCATTCCACTTTCCTGCATCTTTGGTCCTCTTGATATAGATCTCCACACAGTCTTCCTTGGTCTTCTTGTTGTTGGGCTCCCCATCTCCCCAGTTCTCTGCTTCTTCAGTGAGAGACTTGTTGGTTCCCACCCAAGTCCATACCCCCTCTACCTTCCGAATTCCTATCCAGTAGTAAGAACGCCTGGCAGGAAGTGTATTCTCCAGGTACTCAATTTCCTGCTTGTTTTGTATGGCAACTAAATCTGTGTACTTTTCTTGGCAGAACTTTCTAGACTTTTCCCAGTTCATGGGCTTTTCAGAATAATGGTAAGTCCAGCAGTCGGTTCCGTGATGTGTCATGAAATCTGAAAGATGACAACATGAACTGTAGAGACTCACATAATGTTACAGCTAAAAAGAACCGAGAGGTTATCTAGGCAAAGCCTCCAAATTAGAGATGAGGAGACTGAGATCCAGAGAGTGTACATGACCTGAGCAGGGTCACAGAACCAGTTGGTTGCAGATTTGAAGTAGAACTCAGACCTTCTGGTTTTTCACCATAATATACTACTGTAACTCATAGCTCTATTTCAGATCAATTTGGTGTATTTCTCGGATTTATTTTCATAAAATAATTTTTCTCAAATTTCTTTCAAGTGAAACTTAACTAACAAATTTTAGAGGCTTGAATTTCTTTTCCCTAGTTGTTGTCAATCATTTAGACCTACTTTAACTATAATATCCTATACCAACCCACTGCTGCCTAGTTGATTCTGACTCATAGTGACCCTATAGGACAGAGGATAGAGTAGAACTGCCACATTTTTCTCCTGCGGAGTGCCTGATGAGTTCAAACTGCCAACCTTTTGGCTAACAGCCAAGCACTTAACCACTGTGCCACCAGGGCTTCTTAGAAATCATATAAATGCTTCAAATATGAAGGCTTAAAAGAAAACTAATGAACATAATTGCACAAATGACCCCATAATAATATATACCTTTCTAAGTATAGGATTTATATGAAACACTATTTATATAATAAAAGTTTTCACAGCCATAAACATTTGTTGAATATTCATGATGTGTAGGGCAAGTACCAAAAAGAAATACCAAAGAAAACATGCATCCAACTCTTATAGTCTCCTAGAAACTATGAACAAGGAGTGACAGAGACAAAATATAATTAATCTTGAAAAATTAAATATATCAGATATGAACAAAGAATGGGTAAGCAGAGATGGTTTATGAGTAAAGAACATCATAAAATAGATGTTTTGAACAGTTGTTTTAAAGGAGCATTCTGCTAGAGTGTAAGTTCCAAAAGGGAATTGACTACTTTGTTCATGGCTGGATCTTCAGTACCTGTTAACAGTGTTCAGTACATTGTAGAGACTCAGTCGGTATTTGTTGAATAAAAAGAAAACTGGATTCCACAGGTGACAGAGGCAGATGTTATAAGGACTATGTTTTGTGAGGAGCAGAGTAGACATGTTTGTCAGAGTTGAGAATCCTAGCTAGGGAGTAAAAAGGGATTGGCTTACTTAGAAAACGGGAAAGAAGATTCAAAGTAATAGCTGGAGAGTCTTTAAGAATCAGACAAAAAACATGTCACATTGATGGGAGAAAGACAAAAAACAAAAAAGAAACTATAAACCATGACCTTCAAGAAGCACACAATTTAGATGTAGATGACATTGGTGTACAATGAACTGATAATTAAAAAACAGGAAGTAGAGTACTAAATACTTGGTAGAGATTATTAAATGCCTTATTAGATATTTCTTAACTGATTTCATTCCTTCATAAATGAAGACTTTTAAGGAATTACTAAGATTTGGCCTATGCAGCAAAGGATGTGGCAAGTAAAAATAAGGTGGTAGTGATTGTTATTTGCCTGAGTAGATTCTAACTCATTGTGACCCCATGTGTGCAATGCAGATTGGGCAATCTACTTCTGTACAGATATTGCCTCAGAAATCCAAGGAGGGGTTGCTCTGAGTGGGAGTCAACTTGACGACAGTGTTTTTATTTATTTATTTTTTATCGGGTTTTCAAGGCTGTGACCTTCCAGAAGCAGATCACCACACCTGTATTCTGAGGCATCTCTGAGGGGGTTCAAACCACCAACATTTGGCTACTAGTCAAGAGCTTAACCATCTGTACCACCCAAGGACTCCCAAGATAAGGTTAGGATTCTGCAAAAGTACTAAAGGTAAGAGGGAGAAAAGAGACATTCATAGAAAAGGTAGAATGAATAGTTGTCCACCTAATAATTTTCCTTGAGACTATGTACACATAGTGGTATTTAAGAAAAATGAGCTCAAGTGAAAAAGGTTTAGCAATGCATAAGTGTCATAACATACCGCAGCAGAGTACTGTCCAAACCCACAACTGGAAGATGTTCCACAAGTCCTTCTGAGGGCTCTGACATTTCCCTGGAAATATCTGCAAGTAAAGTTCAAAATTGTATTGACATTTATACTCCTTAAACCACAAGTTTCCAGCACCTCAAGCAGGTGCCTACAAATAAAGGTGCTCAAAATAAACACATATACCTACTAAGCATGTCTAAGGTGATAGATTTTTCAGATATGATATGAAAAAGTAGCATCAAAAATTTGCCTCAAAATTGATCTATTTTTTAGTGTCAAGTTGCTGATTTTTTTTCACCTATGTTTCAGTAATTTCTTTGTATCCACTTTTCTACTTAGCTGTTAGATTTTATTATTTGATATTTGGTATGTATCTTCTTAAAGAGTTCTTTGGTGCTTAATGATCTAATGAAGTTTAGATTTAATGTTATAATCTCATACTTAATTTTGACGGACCACTGCCTCAAATTCCTAAAATCATTCAGTAGCCAAACAGATACCGGTGAAGAAAAGCAGTTCATTTTTCTTTTCCCAAATAAAAAGAGAAGTATTTTGAGCAACTCAAATAACAAGGCCACACTTTTTTTTTGCATACACTAAAAAGCATATATTCTGAAACATATCACTTCTCAGATAACAGCAGTGTTTGGTTGCAAAAGTGCTGATTTCAGTAAGATAGCATCTCTTCAAGAATTTCATCAGACACAACGGCCAAGGAGAGGCAATCAGCATATCTAGAAATATCCTAGGATCACACTGAGAGTTTGAGAGCATTCCTCATTTTGTTTAGTTTTTAAACAAAAATGCAATGTGTTGCTTCTTGCCTGTTGCCACCTGCCTCTGCAATCTCAAGAAAGGGTTGTGTCTGAGCAGCTAGGACTCTTAGGCTAGCAGGCTCACCATGGCTTTGCTGGCTGCCTCCCTAGTTCTTCAGCTTCAGCCTCTCCACTCAGCAGCAGGGGTCTCTGGTCCTCGCCCAAGTGGAGTTGCGCTGTGCTGCATGGAGACTGTGCTGAGTGTCACCACAGAGGTTTGCTTTCTTTCATTTCTCTAACCAAGTCTCATATCCTCCTCTTCCTCCTCCACGCCTCCTCTACCACCTACTCCTCCTCCTCTGTTCCCCCCTCCCGGTCCTCCTCCTCTTCTCTCTCCTTTCCCCCCACCCTTTTCTTAGCCTGACTTCTATTACCTCTCCTGAGAATGAGTCTCTGAGCTGACCTGAAGAATATTAATTGTTGGATTCTCCCTTCTCCCTCACCTTCCATCCTCTTACTTTCTTCCTTTTCTCTTTTCTCCCTTTCTCTTTATTTCTTTTTCCTTTTCTCTTTCCCTCTATCTTTTTCCCTCCCTCTCCCTCTGTCTCTTTCCCTCCCTCCCCCCTCCTCTTGCTTTTTCCCCCTCCTCTGCCTCTCCCTCCTCAGGCTCCCTCTCCCTCCTCTCCTTTTATTTAGATAAACACTAGACTCACCTTTTGGGAGCTCTGGTGGTGTCGTGGCTAAGGTATTTGACTGCCAACCAGAAGGCTGGCAGTTCAAAACCACCAGCCACTCCTCGAAAGGAAGATTGGGCAACCTATTTCCTTAGAGATACCTCCTTGGAAACTCAAGGAGGGGACACTATGAGTAAAATTGACTTGACAGCAGTGAGTATTGTTGATTGTGTTTTTTTGTTTGTTTGTTTTAGACTTACCTTTGGCTGTCCATTGTAATAGTCCCAATAATTGCAAACATCACCCAATCAAGTGTATGAGGTCTGCCAAACTTCAATAGAGTTCACCATCCCACTTGATTCATTTAGTTCCTTTTCCTCCCTTTCCTTGCTCACCCCCTAATGGTGATTCTTGTTAATGGCACTTACTTCCTAAAGTTAAACCCTGAAGAAAGCAGAACTAGCTTTCTGCCCTAGAGGAGCTTGGGGATCTACAGGTTCTTTTCTATTTCTGGAGTATAAAATGTGAGGGAAATAAGACTGCATATGAAATTAAGACCTATATGATGAATGGGAAGGAACTTAGGAATCTGGGGAAGAGTCACTGACTTATAGCTTGTTGTTAGGTTTGGTAGAGTTGGCTCCAACTCATAGTGACCCTATATGCAACAGAATATAACACTGCCCTCTGTGCACCATCCTCACTATCATTGCCATGCTTGAGCCCATTGTTGCAGCCACTGTATTAATCCATCTTGTTGAGAGTCTTCCTCTTTTTCACTGACCCTCTGACTGCTAACCAGAAGGCTGGCAGTTCAAACCCACCAGCCACTCCTTGGCGGGAAGGTTGGGCAATCTACTTCTGTAGTGATATTGCCTCTGAAACGCAAGGAGGGGTCGCTATGAGTCGGGGCCGACTTGATGGCACATAACAACAACAACAACAACCAACAATAACAAACTGTGAAAAAATAAATTTGTTTGTTAAAGCCATTCACTTGTGGTATTTTTTCTCTCACAGCAGCACCAGGTAACTAAGACACCAACTAAATACTGATGAGTTCTTAATTTACATTTCCAGCTAGGAACTTTCCCCTACAGCCCAATACACCCTCAGCATCTCCATTGAGATGTTTAATAGACCTCTCAAATATTACGTGTCCCAATCCAAACTTCTGGACTTCACCAAATCTAGGCTCTTCCAGGAGTCTTTCCCAACTCAGTAAAATATAACTTTATCCTTCCAGTTACTTAATCAAAAGTCTTTGGAGTTAACAGAGAATCCTCTCGCTGTCACCACTCATATTTAATCTGTCAGCAAATTTTGCTTGTTTTGCCTTCAAAATATTCTTAGCATTCAGTTACTTCTGCTCTTTTATGCATGTAAACCACCGCCATGGCTTATCTACATTATTGCAAAAGCCTCCTAACTGGACTCCACATTTCTGCCCTTACCCTTTCATTGTCCATTTTCAGCAAATGACCTAAGTTATTCAGTTAACATGTATATATCATTCAGAAATAGAATTCACCCCAAATGGTTCAACTAAAGATCCTTTAATGGAGGGATCACTTGCAGAGACTAGACAAGATTAAAAGAGCAAACAAGAGAAAATGAAGCATCCAGAGACTAACAATAGGAGGAAGTTGTTGCTACTACTGAGCTGAATGAAGATTGAAGGTGGCGGGAATAGTATTACCAAATGAGCTGCAACTCTAGAGGAACCACTGACCAGGAGCTGTAGTAGAGAAGAGGTGCAACTACTCCCAGAAACAGTACCAAAGCAGCGGCAGAGTGGGTAGGAAATGCCAGGACGTTTCTCTCCTCTTGCTCTGTGATCTCTTTAGGGTGTCTCTTGATTAAACCAACCACAAAAGATCAAGTGGTGTAATCTCCTGAGACACAGAGCAGGGAAAGATAAGAATAAATGGTGGGTAAGTGGAAGGGTGTCAAATGGAAGAAACCAAAAATGAAATCCCTTGCCATGGAGTCAATTCTGACTCATAGGACTTTATGGAACAGAGTAGAACTGTTCCATAGGGTTTCCAAGGCTGACAATATTTAGGGAAGCATACTCCTTCATCTTTCTCCCATGGAGTGCCTGGTGGGTTCAAACCACCAATCTTTTGATTATCAGCTGAATGTTTTAACCACTATGCCACAGACCTCCCTAAACAGAAGAAAGCAAGCACAAAATAACACAGCATTCTTCTGCTCAGAACCCACCAATGGCTTCTCACTAAATCAGAGTAAAATCCAAAATTCTTTCAGTAGCTTAGAGGGAATTCATATTCAATGATCTAGCCCTGCTCCCTAATAATTTTTGTCTTCTGCGATTTCCATTATACTTTTAAAGTTCAGCTATTCATTGTAAATAATTATAATTGACTCAGCTATGAGTCAGGCCCGACTCGACAGCACATACTAACAACAACAACAACAGCAATTTGAAGTATTATAGTGGTAAAGGTTTTCAGAGTATCAATCTTTTACATTCCCTACTTCCTAGAAGCGAGGATGGTGAGACTTTGGCTCTCTTACTTTGCACACATCATGAGAAAGATGAATCGCTAGTAAAGGACATCACGTTTGGTAATGCAGAGCATCAGAAAAAAAGCGGGAAAACCCTCCATGAGATAGATTTATACACACTATTCATAAAAATGGATTCAAACATATTAATGATCATGAAAATGGTACAGAACTTGGCAGCATTTTGTTATAGAGGTAGGGCTTGATTATGTTTTCTTAGACAGTGGTGAGCATCTCCATGTGGTTTGTAGCTTGATATACACTAGGTCTTTTGGATTGAGGCTATTCTGGGGGGGGGGGGGATAAAACAGCATATCTTGTGGGAAAAATTATTAAACTATTCTGGCTCTAATTCTGGTGAATAATAGAGTCTATATGAAGACTAACTTGAGGAACCCAGAACTGAGAATGACATTAGGCAAAGATTCTATGATAAGAAGAGATTTGCTTTGTTTCATTATTTTTTTAGATGTTAATATTTTTTCAGACCATATTGATGTACAAGAGTTTATACACATGGCACTTCACATCCACTAGTACGGCTATGATCAAAAAGTTGGACAAAAACAAGTGCTGACAAGGATGTAGAGAAATTGGAATCCTTATACATTGCAGGTGGGATTGTGAAAGAGTGTTGTTGCTTTGGAAAGCAGTTTGACAGTTACACAAAGTGCTAAATATGGAGTTCAGCAATCCTGCTCCTATACCTAAAATAATTGAAAACATATACCTATACAAAAACTTGTATACAAATGATGTAGCAGCATTATTGATAATTGTCAAGAAGTGAAAACTACCAAAATGCCACCAGCCACTCCTCGGAAGGAAGGTTGGGCAATCTACTTCCATAGTGATACTGCCTTGGCAACCCAAGGAGGGGTCGCTATGAGTTGGGGCTGACTCAACAGCACATAACAACAACAACAACCCAAATGCCTATCAGTTGATGAATGGACATACAAAATATGGTATGTTCATAAAATGGAATATTATTCAATAATAAAAAAGGAATGTAGTTCTAACACATACTACAAGATGGATAAACTATGAAAACATTATTCTAAATGAAAGAAGCTAGACACAGAAGACTGTGTATTGCTTGATTCCATTTCTATGAAATATCCCAAAAAGGCAGATCTGTAAAAAACAGAAAGTAGAACAGTGATTGCCAGGGACTAGTAGGGGAAGAAAACAAGGGAGAAATGCAGAGCTACTAGTGGGTGTGGGGTTTCCTTTTGAGGTGTTGCAAATCTTCAGGAATTAGATAGTGATGATGGTTGCACAATCTTGTGACTGTACAAAAAAAAATAAATAACTGAATTGTACAATTTAAAAGGGTGAATTTTATGGCTTGTGAATTTTATCTGACTAAAATAAAATTTTAAGAAAGAGGCTATTCACAGAGATAAATACAAACATGTTTATTATTGAACTTTATGATGCCATGACAATACAACAGTCCTGAAATAAGCTTAAATAAATACATATTTAAAATCATAAAATACATTAAATCATAGTTTAAAATAATTTATAAAACACAAACACATACCCCATTTATATTTCATACCATTATTTACAATTCAGTAGTATATATTTACATTTGAACAGTTTTGTAGAAAATAATACCATATTCCAGAGGTAGTCTGATCACAATAGTCATTTTTGTTTTGTTTCCTCCCCTCCCCTGTCATTTTCCAGAATTTTTTTGCCACTTAAAAAAAAAAAAATCCTCTCTTGCCCTGATCCCTATCACAACTCTCTATTTGTGGCTTTGTCATTGTCATTGTTATTGCTGATTTGCAGCCAGCATTGCTCTAGAAACTTCCTTTGAACACAGGCCAAGTGAATGGCTGTGTGGCAGAGTTTTGATTCTCCACCCTGTGCAGTTCGAGCAGCTTTTGACAATTAGTGACCCCAAATTTTCATTCTACTGATTAACTGATAACTGGAAATTGGTTGAGACCATTCAATTCTACTTAAAAATAAACACAAATAGTTGTTCATATAAGCTTTCCCTTCCAAGAATACCCTGCCATACAGAATAAAACAAGAAGGGAATAATCATCAGACACCTTCACTTTTCCAAAACGAGTGGCTGAGTCCTTCATGTGGTGAACTGCTATTCTGCATTTACAGTCTTACACAATAAACAAGGACTGTATTGTCTTCGCATCTGAAGAACATCTTTATAGGATAACAAAGCACATCCGTATTTCTATCTTTTTTCTTTAATAAAGACATTCATAAAATTGTACCTTCATTTGGTTTCATAAAATCAGAACATTATGCTAACATGGGAGGTTTTTATCTTGTAAAGCACACATTTCTGGGGGGCGGGGGGACCACCTAACACTGTATAAACCCTCCATTCAGTTTTCATTCCTCTAATATTACTCATATTTTAAACATTGTAGTAAAACACTCAAACCGTTGCTCTGACTAGTATCACGTATTACTAGGGGACAATATTTTCCCTTTTTTGAAATAACTTAGAAAATGTTAAAAACAAAGAGATGGTGATTTAGGAAAGGTAATTTTACCCTATCATTGTCCTTAATATTTACATATTTTTGAAGTTCCTACAACACTTTCACTGAGTAAGAGTTACTGAACGTTAAATTGTATTCAATACAAATGAACACAACTTCTAAGAACAATTTTAAAGGTACAGAATCCCATAGGGATAAAAGTAGGAAGACTTTGCTTCATCATCCTTGAGCAGTGGATGGAGTAGTGTTTGCACATTGAACCCTCCTCATGCAGGCTCCTATGGGCATTAACAATTTTGTCACCTTATCAACTCAATACTAGAATAGTTTTGGCCAATTTCTTTCCTCTAAACTCTTCAAAAAAAGAAACTTTGGTGGTACAGCAGTTAAAACATTCAGCTGCTAATCAAAAGATTGATACTTCGAACTCACCAGCAGCTCCACAGGAGAAAGGTGAGGCAGTCTGCTTCCAGAAAGATTTATGGCCTTGGAAAGCCTATGGAACATTTCTGCTCTGTCCTGTAGGGTCACTATGAGTCGTGATTGACTCAATGGCAATGACTGGGTGATGGAAACTCTTCAAAATTATTATTTACTTCCATGACAGAAACCATGTCATCCGCAGTTGAAACATTATGAGGGATTCAAGAAAGAAACAAAGCCACAAAATATTGCACTTCTTCACTGGTGTTTCATGGTAAGCAAGGGAAAGTTAGAAAAGGAATTCTGTGATTCCAGAGCTTTGCTGTCTTCACTTTTGCCTGGAAGAGAATGTCCTTTCGCTCCAGTACCCAACACTTTGCTGGTTCTGAGAATAGGAACGAGAAAGCTGACTCTTTTCTGTTGAAGTCTGGCCTGGCCCACTGGATTTGGGACTGGTAGATCCTTGTGAGTGCCCTGGTCCCAGCTTTAAAACAGAAGATTCATTCAGTAGGTGAGAAGGGCCAGAGATCCAAGGAGTGCTCTCTGGTCCTGCTATCCTCAGTGAATCACTACAGTTCTCAGGGATGCACTGTGTTCCTGCAAATACAAGAGTGTGTGTCATCAGTATACTTACCATTTCCACATACTAACAGTAATAGAAAAATCCAGCACGTAACAACAACAGCAACATATGTATATGTATACATAGAAAACAAAACTATATATATTATATTTACAAACAATACAAACAAACTCATTGCTGTCAAGTCAGATCCAACTCATAGCGACCCCTCCTTGGGTTTCTGAGGCAGTATCACTACAGAAGTAGATCGTCCAACCTTCCGAGGAGTGGCCAGTGGGTTTGAACCACTAGCCTTCTGGTTACCAGTCAAGTGCCTTAGGCACTACACCACCAGAGCTCCCATATATATATGTATATTATGTATTTTATATATATGTACAAATATTTACCACAAATAATAATTAAAGAAAAAAAAACACAGAACAACAACAACAAAAAATTGCCTGAGGTATCAAAACTATTAAGTGGCAGCGTCAGGATACAAATTCATTTCCAGAGTGCCTAAGTTTTTAGCCACCACCCTAGCTACATTGGATAATATCACACAAGAACTGTAATATCCAAAGACATTCCTTCTCGACATTCTGAACAATCCAGATCTGTCATTCCCTGTCTCCCAGTGGAACATATCTGAGCATATCTACTTGTGAGTGAGCAGTGGGCTATGTTTATAAATTGGTGAATCATATTCTTGTAGCCACATGGGCAAGTGTATAGGCTATTTCTTACTCTACTTCAGCTTACTAGGACTACATAATATATTACCCAGCTTATCCTGCAAATTAAACCTGTACCTTGGAATTCACTAATTGAAAGTTAAGATAAAATGTTGTGTAAGAACATGAAAGCACTCTTTTCATTAATATGATAAAAGATGCTCTAACATAAATTATCCCTGTCCAGGGAGCATCTTTCTATATTATTTCAATTTAAGGAGGTACATCACCCTTAATCAAAAACCAAAACCAAACTCACTGATTCTGTCTCATAGAATCCCCCTTTGGATTTCCAAGGCAGTACATGTTTATGGAAGTAGATTGCCCAGTCTTCCATCCATGGTGTGGCTGGAGGTTTGAACCACCAGTCTTCTGGTTAGCGGTCAAATGCCTTAGGCATTACGTCACTTAGCTCCATTTACCATTTGGCTCCATTGTGTGTACGCATCTACTCCTCAGTTATCGACTGTCTTGTTATCTGACATTTCACTTTTACGGCAATAATAAAAAATTTGCTATCTAACTATTGTGTGCATTAACAATATTTGTTTGGCAGCAAAAAATGCCGAGGTGTGGGGCAAGAGTAATGGTGCCTGTGATGATTAAGTTTGTATGTCAACTTGGCTGGGTCATGATCCTCAGTGGTTTGGCAGGTACATAATGATGTAATTTGGCAGTTATATGATGATATAATTTGGGAGTTATGTAATGATGTAGTGATCCTTGATTTTGTGATCTAATGTAGTCAACCTTCATTTTAGCTAAGACCAGTCCTTGCATACCAACTTGGTCTTTGAACCTAACCATGTGAATAAGTGAAGAAACCCAAATCCATTGCCCTCAAGTTGGAACCGACTCATAGTGACCTCTCCTTGGGTTTCCGAGGTGGTATCACTGTGGAAGTAGATTGCCCAACCTTCCTTCCGAGGAGTGGCTGATCGGTTTGAACCACTTGCCTTCTGGTTAGCGGTCAAGTGCCTTAGGCACTATGCTACCAGAGCTCCCTAAATGAAGAATGGGTATATATAAATCAACATTGGTTGTCCTATTATTGTAGCTTTTGCTACACATCTAGGCAATTCAGAGTTCTCTAGGGATTTGAACTTCAATAACAAATGTCTAAATACAACTCTAGAGATAGACAACTGTCAGGGAAATATAGCAGGATCTTCTCATCAGCTAGATTTGTCTGCATCTAATCAGATAAATAAGGATGGATGACGACAATGCAAATGGGAAAATTAAAAAAAAAAAAAAAAAACCTAGGAGACCAGTGGCAGTAAATATCTTAGCTACTTTTCCCCAAAACATAGGAAATACAAATATTCAATTTTTCACACACAGATCATTCTGTACTCTCTCATTGGGTAGTCCAAATGTTAAAATCAAAATTCCTTTCAGAGAGACTGGACCCTTCCAAGTTCTTAAAAGCAAGCAAAGTGCTTAAGAACAGAGATTGTAGAACCAGTTTGCCTGGGCTTGAATCCTGGCTATATACCTTCTAAATCTGAGACTTTAAAACCAAAAAACAAACTCACTGCCATTGAATCAGATCCGACTCATAGTAACCTCTCCTTGGGTTTCCGAGGCAGTATCTCTATGGAAGTAGATTGCCCAATCTTCCTTCTGAGAAGTGGGTGGTGGATTTGAACTGCCAGCCTTCTGGTTAGCAGTCAAATGCCTTAGGCACTGTCACCAGAGCACCCTTGAGACTTTAGACAGGCTAATTAACTTCCCTGTAGCTCATTTTCATCATCCACACAGTGAGAAACTCAACAATAATAGTTTTTACCATCTATATTTCACCTGAGTTGCACTATAAGCTCTTTTTGCCTCTCTATATATGACTTAGAACAGTGGCTAACACATAGCAGTTACCTATCATCATTATCATTCATGCATAGAATGACTCAATAAAGTCCAGATCCCTTGTTTCTTGCCTCTCCTTCTACAAAGAAATGGAACAACTTCCCAGAAAATACTTTGAAAATGGAAATTTTCTTCCAGAAATGGGCAGGTTTGGATGGTACAAAACCAAACAAACTCACTGCCATTGAGTCGGATGTGACCCCTCCTTGGGTTTCTGAGGCAGTATCACTACAGAAGTAGATCACCCAATCTTCCTTCCAAGGAGTGGCTGGTGGGTTTGAACCACCAACCTTCTGGTTAGCAGTCAAACACCTTAGGCACTACTCCCTTGGAGGGTACAAGGAACACCAAAACATGCAGAAAGGGTATTACTTTCTTATAAACATAGTAACATGTGATTACCAAATCTTACCTGTTTCCCTTGGACTTAAATGAACTCAGAAGGAGTTTGGTAGGTTCCATCTGATTCCAGGCTTAGGTAGCTGCTGTGGAATGCAAGAGAATACTGGGTAAAGCATTGTTTTCTAACAAGAAAAGGGAAAAAGGTGTAGAAGGTTCAATGGTATGTTTTGTAAAAGAATGTAACATACCTGGCAGGCACAAATTTTCTTGCTGCAAGACAAAGAAAATCATTAATTTAGAGTAAATGATTTTTAAGATCAGATCAAATCCAGAAACAATATGACTTGATTTCTAAAGGGTTTGCAAACTCAATGCCTTTAGGGCCTTTGTAACAATCAGAGTGCAAATACAGTGGAACTGGGGGAAGGAGGAGTTGAAGGGCATAATGCAGGCCCCATCCAGAGGGCTCAGCAGCTACCTGACTCCAGCAAATAGCTGCAGGCTCATCTTGCCAGACTCAGCTTCCAATGTTTCATGATAAGTCATATATCTGGATTTTTATGGAAATTTTTGGTTGTTGTAAATATCAGAACCAAATTCAAAAATGCTTAAAGATTGTGGGCCAAACAAACCATGAGTGTGAAGGGACATGTTTGCATACTGCCTGTGAGATACTCCAAAATGCAAGCCTCTATCCCAAATAAATCACTTCAGGAAACATTTTGTGTATTTTCCTAGGAGCACTAATCATGGCAGCCTCACTGCACAACTCCAGGGGTGCCATAGAACTCAATGTGAATAGCATCCTGGGAGTGGGGAAATGTCAGCACAGCTAACATTATATTTTCTTAAACTCTTCCCACTTTGAATTGCACTATAAGCTCTTTTCTTAAGATTTCCACTTAGTTATACTGCAATTGATTCGTGGTTATCTCATAATAAGATTCTAATTACTGTTTAAATGTGCAAGAAAAGGCTATGATGTCAATGACTCATCTTATGAGGAAAGAAGAAAATTTCAAAAACACATTGGGAGTACATTCATGGACTTCCTCACCTTTCCTCCGAAGGCGTTTCAGAAGCCAGAGGAGAAATGATGCTAATGTCAGAAGGGAGGTCCCAGCAGCAGAAAGTCCAACTGCCAAGGGAACACTGGACTCAGCAGAAGCTAAGGAAACAAGAGAGGAAGACTTGTCACAAGGAAGAATTGGCTTTAAAGTCTTCTGGTGTTTTCATTTGACCTTTTCCTCTATACATTGATACTAGAAGGAGAAAAAACATCTAATCCAATGCATGAGGAAAAGAACTGTCATTAAAGACCTTTTAGATCTGCTTCACACCATTTTGGCAGGCTTATTGCCTACCACTGCCAAAGCAGAACTCCAACTTGCTAAATTCATTTATAACACCACATCTTGGTTAATAGTGTGCTCTCTCACTCGCTCTTGCTACCCATCCCCTCATATTTCCTCCATTTCTCTCAAGCTCTCCTTTTCCACTTATCAGAATTCACCCTTTCAGTCAACATGTCATCTCTCGACCCCATAGTTATTCCCCCAGATTGTTAATGTAAGCAGCCTTTATGGACGGACATAAAGAACAGTTAATTTTTATGATCTGATGACTCCCCTCCTTCTCCCTAGTCCCCAGACCACCACCATCAGTCAATGTATTATCTTCACAGCTGAGGAGTATCCCAGACTGGGATCCTGTGGCACCACACATCAGAGCTGAAGAGCCATTGAACAACCACCCTTCAGGACATGCAAATGTACAAATGGTACCAAACACAGGCTCCCCATTGCAGCTCATGTTGGTCTTCCCACCAACTGCTAGGCTAGGACATTGTACTACTGCAAACAAGAGGCACAGGGGTAGAGGTAAAGAAAACTCTACTGGGAAATTTCTAAAACTGATTTAGACAACACAGCTGAAAGTTATAGTGAATGTAACTTATAAGCAATACTTCATTTTCAGCATGCAGGAAATTATGGTCAAACACATTGAGGAATCTAGGGCCAGAGACTTATGAAGTATTTCATCTTTAGTCCTTAAAGTCTGAATTAAATCCTACCTTGGCAAGAGGGCACTTCCTGCATCCACTGTCCCTGAAATGTGCACTCGAGTTGAGCTGATCCGTGTAATTCAAAGCCTTCTTCACAGCTGAAGGCACAAGAGGACTTGTAGGTGAACTCTCCAGTAGGTGCATGGGTACACCTCACCAAGCCACTCTGGAGCTGGCTGACAGCATCACATTTCACAGCTGGAAGACACCAGAGAGCACATGAGAGATCTGTTTGCATCTGGTAGCAACAAGTTTCTCAGGTAAACAAGCCCCTCGCTCCTCAGTAGTGTTTATCTTAAAATAAATAACAAAAACTATATACACAAATGGGCTTGTCACTGTCCCACTCCCCTGTGAGGCCACACTGAAGTCTTTTGGATCCCTTCAACACAAATCCCTGCTCACAGGAGAAATCACAGCTGGACCCACTTTGGAAATTTCCAGGAGCACTAAGAAGACAATTCATGTAGCCTCTCTCCAGGCTAGATAAAGCTTTGCACTGTAAAGCTGAGACATCAAAATGATAGAACATATTGAGTGGAACTGGACAGTACTGAGCTTTTGATGAGTGAACCCAATTAATTTAGGACAGAGCAAAGCTCTGAGAATTCAAAACTCTTCCTTGCTCCTTCTATAACTGGGAAAATGGCTGTGTTTTCTGGAATTCCAATAACCTCATTGATGATGACGCTAAAGGACAAAGTTTAATAAGAACAGTGGTTTCTGACACTGTCCTTCTGACATGCAAGAGGAATGAGGGTCAAGAGAAAATTTTTATGCAGCCAGAGTGCAACTTACATGTCTAGGATGCTTATAGAATGGGACCCAAAAAAAGAAAATGAGGCACCCACATAAAATTTGTATGCTTTATTGTTTAGTTATGGTGGTGTGGCTTTTAGCCATTGAAACTCATTCTGTGCTATATATGGTTATAAGGAGCTCAGTGTCTGATAGTGAATTCTTCTTGTTGTCAATATCTTTGCTCTTGTTTTAATGTGAATTAAATTTTAGTGTTTAAATATGTATGAAGAGTGTCTTACCTAGTATTAGAAACATTCTGGTCACTGCTAGTTATGAGTGATTCCAGGAGAATGTTATGAAAAGAGTCTTATGATCTTACTTTCACATTGTTCTAATGTAATTTTCCTTAGGTTAAGAATTCTACTTACTCCATGCCAGTGTCAATAAAGTTATGTTAGCCCAGTACAGGTGAGAAACCAGAAAAGCATCAGCTGCATACAAATATAGTCCTTTCTTTGGTCAAGAATTGGCTTTCTTATATGAACCTCAAAAGTGCAAAAGAAATGTTGCCCATCAAAACTAATTTCTCTAGTTAAAGAGGGCATCTGGTTTCATTCTTGACACACAAGTTTGAAGTCAGATGCTCTTTAAGAATGGGAAACTATAAAGGAGAGAATCTCAGGCTCACCTTCACAGGTTGGGATTTGCGTCCACTGTCCTTGTGCAGTGCATTCAACTTGGGATGGTCCCTGCAACTTGAAGCCTTGCTCACAGGTGAAGTGGCAGGATGACTGGAAGGTGAACTCTCCAGCAGGGGAGTGGCTACAGTTCACAGAGCCATTCTGAGGCTGGCTGATGCCACCACATGTCACAGCTGTAACACAAGTACCCATTTATGTTAGCAGGTCAGGTTTGCCCATCTCAGGTGCCTTACAATGTGTATTGATATGCTATAACTCTACCTTTACACATTGGTCTCTCATTGTCCCAGTTCCCAGATGAGGTACACTGGAGGCTCTGTGCTCCCATCAGTTCAAATCCTTCTTTGCAGTCAAATGCACAGGTCGTGTTCCATGAGAAGCTTCCGGGGCTTTGAGAACATTCCATGGCTCCATTGGCAGGATTTGTCAAAGCATCACACTCAACCACTGTGTAAAAAGAGGTTTGAGTACAGGATTTAAGACTACATGTGATAACAAACAATAGTTTTGCTGCCTTACACAGGATATTTATTTATTTTAGCCCAGCAGTACCTTGGAGGAAAGGATTTTTTTTTTTTTTTTCCCTCTCAGGGTCACAAAGACAAAACAGAGACAAAAACAGTTATTTAGAGTGTTGGATTAACATTATCTTAAACTAGTCCACTGCAAGGAAGACATTAAACAGGGAAAGAGGATGAGGAAGTCACTAAGGTTTTTAGAATATGGTTCCTCTGTCTTATGTGTTCCTTCATAAATTACCAATGCTTCAGAAACACCCATTTCAAACTTAAACTAAAAACCTCTCTGAAACCAAGATGGTGTGGCATTGGCCATATAGATTGACTGAGAGAGCAAGTTTTATTTAAAAAGCAACAACTAAACAAAACTTTCCTTAGAGTTCTGGAAAAAAAAATAGGATAAGAAACCAAGAAGATCAAGGATCAGTCAAAAGTATGTTCAGTGCATTCAAAGAGACTTACCACTGCAGGTCGGGGTGGGAGCACTCCACTCTCCAGAGGAGGTGCACTGTGTGGTCTCTGAGCTGCTGGGGAGGTAACCCTTTTCACAGGAGATGGAGCAGGAAGAATTGTAGCTGAAGTTTCCCAAAGGATGGGTGCAAACCAGGCTCCCATGCTCAGGGGCTTTCTGTGCTTCACAGGTCACAACTGAAAAAGGAAACAATCATTTCTGCTCACCCCTTCCCCTGTATAAGGTGGGAAAATATTGGAAACTCTAACTACTGTGTATTGAATGCTTTCCATGTGCCAGGGACTAGATAAATACTTTATCTGCATTTGTTTGCATAACAGTCTGTATCTACAAACCTATGAAGTTGGTATGCTCATCTTTATTTTACAAATGAGAAAGATGGGGCTCAGAGAGTTAAGTCTGATAGCTAGGAAGTGGTGGGTCTGAGATTTGAAAGCCAGGAATTAGGAATTAGGAATCCATAGTCTTAGCTTTTCACCACTATGTTAGGGAAGGGAAGAGATGCAGACCTGACTCCAAATCCAACCAGGACATAACCCACTGCTGTAAAGTTAGATCGGACTCATAGTGACCCCTTCTTGGGTTTCCAAGGTGGTATCATTATGGAAGTAGATTGCCCAATCTTCTTTCTGAGGAGTGGCTGGTGGGTTTGAATCACCAGCCTTCTGGTTAGCAGTCAAATGCCTTAGGCATTACACCACCAGAGCTCCCAACCAGGACATGAGATTGAGTCATATTTCAAGTGAAGGCAGAGATGAAACTAAGACTTACCTTGCTCACAGTTGAGTCCACTGAAGCCGGGGTCACACTTGCAAGTATAATTATTGATGGTCTCCACACATTCCCCATGACCACTGCAGGATGTATCAGTACAGGCAGCTATGGAAAACATAATCGACAATGAGGATGAGGATTGTAGAGCCAATAGAGGATTCCTCTGCATTTCCCATCAACAGCGTACAATAGAGATGTCATCAATGGAAGAGTGCCAGTGATTTTAACTTAAGTATTTAACAAAATGACACATCAGAGTTTTAGGTTCATGTATTTTAAACCTGACTGTAACGTATGCCACTCCATGGATAGCTATAGCTAACACAAAGCATTGAAAATTCACCTTCTTACCAATTCTGAGTACAGTTCCCCTACCACAGATGAACAAGAAGATCTAAGGTATATGTTATGTGTGTATACACACTCTGTATGCATAAAAACCACTTGATGTTTAGTGGATTCTGACTGATTTTGTTCCCATGAGTATCAGAGTTGACCTGTGCTCCCCAGGCTGATTTTTCAGAAGTAGATCATCAGACATTTCTTCCAAGGTGCCTCTGAGAGGACTCAAAACATCAACCTTTTGCAAAGCAGCAGAGTGGGTTAACTGTTTGCACCACTCAGGTATACACACACACACATTCTTGTCTAAATTTACACAAAGAAGGAAAAAGAGATCCTTTATTCGGTAAGCAGAAGTTTTTGTAACTACATCCACTCCTCACTTCTCAGCATAATTAGGTTCCAAAGACCAGGGAGGCCATTATGCAAAAATTAATGTTTTACAAAAACAGAGAATGACCATATCAGACCAGAAAATGGAGGATGACTATATCATCACGTAACTCCCAAAGCACCGAGAATCATGATCTAGCCAAGTTGATACATAACCTTAACCATAGAGAATAAACTTTGCATACTGTAAACAATTGGTCAGGATGCTTACACTGAAATGACCTCCCTCTCTGCCCCAAACTTCCTACCTGTGTAACACAACGCAAGCTTCCTTTTGTTGCAACTCTCATCATTCCACATGCCCACATCCTTGTCTCTCTTGATGTAGATCTCCACGCAGTCCTCGTTCTTTCGCATATTGTTTGGTTCTCCTGGAGCCCAGTTCTCAGCTTCTTTGGTCAGAGGCTTCTGGGTCCCTTCCCAAATCCACACACCATTGACCTTTCTGATTCCAATCCAGTAGTAACTTGATGAATAGTTTAATATGGAATTCAAGTAGTTAATCTCATCTTTATTTTGAATTGCTACTAGATGGGTGTATCTTTGCTGACAATACTGACTTGCCTTATCATAATTCATAGCTTTTGTGGAGACATTGTAAGTCCAGGCTTCACTGCCTTTAATCAGGAGGAACACTATGGGGGAAACATGAAAGGAATGGTAGAGGTTATTTCCACTGCAATTTGACTCTATCAACGGAGTTTCTTATTTTCTTAACTGTGGTATATTTTTCACCCCAGTTAGCAAAAATGTATGCTTGAGTATAATGGCCAATGGGAAGACTCAACTTTTTCACTTTTTAGAATGAAGAAGGGGTATGTATGGATAAACTACATTGTTTGTGAATCTCCTTTGTGTTTAGCCTTCTTGACCTCTCCCACCATAATCTCTCAATCTATTCACTTCATAGGGGAGCTCTGATGGCATAGTGCCTAAGGCACTTGACTGCTAACCAGAAGGTTGGACGTTCAAACCCGCCAGCCACTCTTCAGAAGGAAGATCGGGCAATCTCCTTCTGTAGTGATACTGCCTTGGAAACCCAAGGAGGGGTAGCTATGAGTCGGAGACGACTCAATGGCACATAACAACAACAACATTCACTTTACAGTAGAATAATCAGAATAACTAACCTTTGTGGAGCATATAATATGTCCTGCCAGACACTGCCTGACACTGTACTTGGCCATCACACTGAATCCTCACAGTACCTCAGGACAATTGGTAAATTATGATCAACACTTCTCAGCGAGACACTGAGATGGAAAGGAAATTGCCCCTCATAGTTACTGTAGAGTCATTTCAGATTCATGGTGACCCCATGTGTGCAGACTAGAACTGCTCCATAGAGTTTTCAAGGCTGTGGCCTTTCATAAATAAGCCAGTCTTCTGAGGCTTCTCAGGATGGGTTTGAACCATCAGTCTTTCTGCTAGTTGTCAAGCCCTTAACAATTTCTACCACCCAGGAACTCAAATTGCTCCTACCCCTAGGCATAACATATTGTACATAAAGGGCAGGAACACTACTAAAAATCCCACTCTTCACAGGATAGCATCCCACAAGGAAGTATTATCTGGCCCCTATGTCAATAGTGCCAAGGTTGAGAAACTCTGGGCTAACTAATGACATTGACTTACCAAAAGGGAGAACGGATAAAAACTGTACAGCAATCATGAGTGCAAGAGGTCTTTTCCTCAAAGGATTAGCTGAGCAATACTTTTCTGGAGAGAATAAAGAATAAAATTAATTATAGAATGTGATTCTGGGCAGCCAGTTACTCACATCATTTTACAATCATGGTTTATGGCAGCATCGTAGCATCTAAGCTAAAGAATTCCAGTGCCACAGTCTTGTTGTACATCAAAGAATTTTACCCCAATGAATAAAGACAACATTTCAAATTTTTCATCAATTAGATCAAAGAGAAAAAAACAGATTTTTAACTAGTCGATACTGTAAGAGCTCACATAGGTCTTTTATTGGAATGTCTTTTGCATACCTATTCATAAAAAATAATCTATGTTTCATGTCCCAAGACTGCTTTTATAAAGACTTCTGCACTTACCGTTTTCCTCAGTTATACGGGTCTCTGAGTCCTCCGGCGTAAAGCTTCTGGTTCTGCGTTGTGCCACTCTAGCGCTTCTGATGTGAAGTCAGCCAAGAACAGCTGAACTCTGCTCCTGCTGGCGTCTCTTTATAGGAGAGAGGAGAGCTCGCTTCCTCTCCTATGAATAATTGGAGGATATGTCTAAACTGAGCAAAAAGGAATTCCCCAACAGCATCAAAAAATTTCCCAGGAATATCCCAAATGCTAAAAATTACAATGATGTTGGAAACCCTGTCACTACTAATTCTTCTCTGTACATTCCTTTATATTCCACAAGCAATTCTCTTAATATGACACAAATTACAATTTTTCATTCTGAAAACCTAAAATCTAGGTCTTTTGAAAAGTTTTAAAACATGAATTATTAATAATCTCTCTTATATGATCATGGGAGTGATAAGAATTATGAAAACATAAGCAAACTAAGAATGGTCTTGCTATCCATGGAATACTACCCTCATTTTTTTTTTTTTTTTCCTCAGTAGCTGTCAATAACAATTCACCACTCACTTTTTCTTTCTCACATGCCGGGCGAGCTCGTTTTTCAGTGCAGTGTCTCACAGAGATAATCATCACACGGTTACTCTAATCCTCAGGTTCTGTGCACCTGTGATGGCTAAATTACTAAATATAATACCATCCATGTGAATGGTTGACATAAGGCCTTCCAAAAAAATTTAAAAAAACAGGTAGGAAATTGACTTAGATGTTCATGCCTGAAAATGGTCATGACTTGTTCAGTGAAAAATGAAAAACTGCACATACTCATATTTAATTGACACAAATTTTGTTTAAAATTTAAAAGTATAGATGTATAAAGAATAAAATCAGAAAGAAAATGCACAAAAACGGTAACAGTGTCTATCTCTCAATGGCAGGATTTTATATTTTCATTATTATTTTCCACATTGGTCTTCTTTATTTAATTTTATAATATAAAGAATGCATTTTAAAGGGTCACATGTCCAAGTGCAACTGAAGGGTATATGTATATTTGCCGTCAAGTCAGTTCAGACTCATAGTGACCCTATGCACAATAGAACGAAACACTGCCCATTCTTGTGGCAGCCTCACAGTCCTTGCTGTGTTTGAGAGCATCATTGCAGCCACTGTTTGAATCCATCTTGTTGAGGGTCTTTCCCTTTTTCACTGACCCTCCACTTTACCAAGTATGTTATCTTCAGGGAATGGTCCCTTCCAACAGCATGATCAAAGTAAGTGGGATGAAGTCTGAACGTTCTCACTTCCAAGGAGCATTCGAGCTGCACTGCTTCCAGGACAGATTTGTTCATTCTTCTGCCAGTCCATGACACTTTCAGTATTCTTCACCAACACCACAATTCAAAAGCATCAACTCTTCTTCAGTCTTCCTTATTTGTTGTCCAACTTTCACATGTATATGAGGCAATTGAAACTACCATGGCTTGGGTCAGGGACATCATAGTCTACAAAGTGACATCTTTGCTCTTCAACAATTTAAAGAGGTCTTTTGCAGTAGATTTTCCCAATATAATAAGACATCTGATTTCTTGAGTGTTGCTTCCATGGGTGTTGATTGTGGATCCAAGTAAAATGAAGTCCTTTACAACTTCAATCTTCTCTCCATTTATCGTGATGCTGCTTCTTGGTCCAGTTGTGAGGATTTTCATTTTCTTTATTTTGAGGTGTAATCCATACTGCAGATTGTAGTTTTTAATCTTCATCAGTATGTGCATCAAATCATCTTCACTTTCAGCAAGCAAGGTTGTGTCATCTGCCTATCTCAGGTTGTTAATGAATCTTCCTCTAATCCTAATGCCACATTCTTCTTCATATAGTCCAGCTTCTTGGATTATTTCCTCAGTATACAGATTGAATAGATATGGTGAAAGGATGCAACCCTGATGCACTACCTTCCTGATTTTAAACCACGCAGTATCCCATAGTTATCTTCTAATGACAACCTCTATATATGTACAGGTTCCTCATGAACACAATTAAGTATTCTGGAAGTCCTATCATTCTCAATGTTATCCATAATTTGATATCCCTCATTCCATATCCTCTTCTGAATCCTGATTGCATTTCTGGAAGTTCCCTGTCAATAGACTGTTTTTTTTTTTTTTTTAATTCTCTTCAGCAAGATTTTACTATCTTGATATTCATGATATTGTTTAATTATTTCTACATTCTGTTGGATCACCTTTGTTTGGAATGGGTTCAAATATGGATCTTTTCCAGTCAGTTGGCAGGTAGCTGTGTTTCAAATTATCTGGAATAATTTTTTTGCATTCCAATCACCAATTGGAGTGAGTTCCTCCAGCAGTGCATCCGTTTGTTGAAACATCTCAATCAACTCCTGGAGCCTTATTTTTCACCAATTTCTTCAGTGCAGCTTCAACTTCTTCTTTCAGTACCATTGCTTCTTGATCATATGGCATCTCTTGAAATAGTTGAACATCAACCAAATCTTTTTGTACAGTGACTCCATGTAGTCCTTCCATCTTCTCTTGATGCTTCCTGCACCATTCAATATTTTGCCTATAGAATTCTTCAATATTGCAACTCAAGCTTTGAATTTTTCTTTGCTTCTTTCAGCTTGAGAAATGCTGAACATGCTCTTCTCTTTTGGTTTTCTAATTCCAGGTCTTTGCACATTTCATTATAATAACTGACTTTGCCTTCTTGAATTGCTCTTTGAAATTCTTTGTTCCACTCTTTTATCTTTTATTTCTTCCATTTGCCTTAGCTACTCTCTGGTCAAGAGCAAGTTTCAGAATCTCTTCTGACATCCATTTTGTTTTTTTCTTCCTTTCCTGCCTTTCCCTCCTCTCCCACTCCTGGTAACCAACAAAGAAGATTTCCTTCCATAAATAAACCTTTCCTTGACTTTTTACAATAATGAACTAATATAATATTTGTCCTTCTGTGATTGACTTGTTTCACTCAGCATAATGTTCTCCACATTCGTCCACATTATGCAGTGTTTTGCAGATTCTACAGTATTCTTTAGTGTCACATAGTATTGCATTGTGTGTATGTACCATAGTTTGGTTATCCATTCTTCTGTTGATGGGCACCTAGGTTGTTTCCATCGTTTTGCTATTGTAAGCAGTGCTGCAACGAACATGGGTATGCATGTGTCTGTTCTTGTCATGGCTTTCACTTCTTTAGAATATCTAACTTTTCCTGCCTTTTTAATAGACCCTTTGTTTCCTTCATGTATGATGTTCTTGATATGATACCACAACTTGTCAGGTTTTTGGTCATTGGTATTCAATGCATCAAATCTGTTCTTCAGATGGTCTCTAAATTCAGGTGGCATATAATCCAGGTTGTATTTTGGCACTTGTGGGCTTGTTCTAATTCTCGTCAGCTTCAACTTTAACTTACATGTGATCAATTGATGGTCTGTTCCACAGTCAGTTCCTGTCCTTGTTTTGACTGAAGATATTGAACTTCTCTAATGCCTCTTTCCATAGAGATATTTGATCTGATTTCTGTGTATTCCATCTGGCAAGGGCCATGTGTGCAGTTGATGTTTATATTCTTGAAAAAAGGTATTAGCAATGAATAAATCGTTGGTCTTGCTAAATTCTATCAAGTGATCTCTAGTGTCATTTCTATCAACAAGGCCATATTTTCCAACTACCAGTAATTCTTCTTTGTTTCCGACTTTTGCATTTCAATCACCAATAATCATCAATACATCTTGATTGCATGTTTGATCCATTTTAGACTGCAGAATTTGGTAAAAATCTTCAATGCCTTCATCTGTGGCTTTAGTGATTGGTGCGTAAACTTGAATAATGGTACTATTAACTGGTTTTCCTTGTACAAGCGTATGGATATTATCCTATCACTGACAGCATTATACTTCAGGATAGATTTTGAACCATTCTTTGTGATGATGAATGTTATACCCTTCCTCTTCAATTTGTCATTCCCAGCATAGATTATATGATTATCTGATTCAAAATGCCCAAAAGAAGTCCATTTCAGCTCACTAACACCTAGGATATCAATCTTTATGTGCTCCATTTCATTTTTGACAACTTCCAGTTTTCCTAGATTTGTGCTTTATACATTCCATGCTCCAATTATTAGTGGATGTTTGCAGCTGTTTCTTCCCATTTTGAGTGGCGCCCCACCAGCAAATGAAGGTACTGAAAGCTTCATTATATCCACATCATTAAGGTCAAGTCTAGTCTAAGGAGGCAGCTTTTCCCAAGTTGTGTTTTGAGTGCCTTCTGACCTGAGGGGCTCATATTCTGGCACTAAATTAGAAAATGTTTTGGGGCTACTAATAAAATTTTCCAGTAATATATCAGACAGTATTTCACTGCTATTCATAAGATTTTCATTGGCTATTTTTTGAGAAGTGAATGGCCCCTTCCTTTTTCCTAGTCTGTGTTAGTCTGGAAACTGTGCTGTAAACTGTCTGCTATGGGTGACCCTGTTGGTATTTGAAATACTTGTGGAATAGCCTCCAGCCTCACAGCAATACCCAAGCCACCACAGTACAACTAACTGAGAGAGGAGACACTCCACAAAATGCTAAATATAAAGTCCAGCAATTATCCTCCTA